AAGTCAGATAGGAGGATTCCCACGATTGCCTGAGATGAAGAAGAAAGACAACATAGGTCAAGCCTAGAGAATCCTACTCTGGGTGTATACCCTTCATCACTGACATTGGTTTTCACAGTCCAGTGGATATTTTATAAGAAGATGGCTGAACTAGAACTAGATATTGGCAATAAATAACAGTATTGAGCTGACTGCTGCCCATTACTATATTCCACAATTTTAAAAGTCTGTTTCCTACTGTGTAGTCACACTCTTTATTTGGAAGTCTGCTGTCTCCAAGGATATGTTTGCAATCCTTTAACCTTTAGACTTCTTTCCCTTTTCCCTCCCCCATGCTTGCTTTGTCTGGTACACACTGTCCTTCCCTTGAAATTCCTGGTCAGGTGGATATTTGAGGCTATCACCTCACATCTACTTCAGTCTATCCCAACTGCTAGTTTATTGCATTCAACCCATTTAACACCTGGCTACAGAGGTAGAAATGCAATTATCTGCAGAGAAGATGCACAAAGGGTCAGAAGTAGTTTTCATGTTTTCTGTAGGATAAAAACTAAACCATTTTCCACTGATCCTTTTCTCAGCTGTCTGTGCAAGAGACGTTCAAAGAAGCCTCTCCTGGTCTGAAGCTGATGCTGTTCTTTATGCCTGTGGACTAACCTCACTGTCCTACACCAAGGCTTTCTGGCACACTTAATTAGACTTTCCCAGATACAAATATAAAACAGGGTGGTATGTTTAGGCAGATCCTCAAACAAGATGGCTCTAATTTCTGCCTTGTTCAACATATGTTTCTGTAGGTTTTCCTATTCTCTTGCCCTTGATACAGGCCAAGATAGAAGTAAACACCCCCTCTTTTTATTTATTTATTTTTTTTCTTCCCTCAAATTTCGATGTCCACCATTAAGACAATGATGTGGTGTGTTTCAGTTGTGTTGTTAGGCTTCCACTGAGAGCCAGAGCTGTGCAGGTGCATTCTGCAATTAGGCAGAAATCAGTGACTTAGACTACTGGCATGCTTCGGTACACTGTGCTTATTTATTTTTGCTGAGAACTGGAACAGAATGGACACAAAGGCTCACAGAGTGGACAGTCACTCCCTCCTTCCCAGCACAGACTTTAAGACATTTCTTGTTGTTTCCTGGAGATGTTAAAGCATTTTTTTTTATTTTCCTCTTGTTCGAAGCATGTCAGAGTGGCTCTCCTGGATCTTCGCTTGTCCATACTAAGTTGCCCCAGGCCTTTCAATTATTTCTTGCAAGTAATCTTTCTGAAACCTCCATTAGCTCCTCTCTAAACGGCAGTGCATGTAATTATTTATTGACACAATATACACGAAACCTCTAAGTGCATTGTGTTCGTTGTTTTCCTGCCTTGTCTCAAGCCTTTCCCCTCCACCTGGCTACCTATTTCCAAGGAAAACACAGCAACCCAGTATCTTGAACGCTGGCAAATTTAGTTAAATCCATCAGGACAGTTGAAGAAAGCACGTATGAAGGTGTAGGGATAAGGCTTCCCCTCATTCCCTCTCAAAATGTACATGTGTATGTTCCCACAGTGATGTATGGGAACTAAACCCTTATACCCCTTTGGCTCTCAGACTTGCTTATCTCAGTTTATCTCCATGATGATATGCCTGCCATTAAATTTCTTCCAGAATTAAGGTTACTTCATGTAAGTCTCCTCTCATTTTCCTCCCAAAATGAATACAAACTTTTTTCCCTTTAATTTTTGATAACTGAGATCAGCTCCTTGTCAATCTACTAGTTTTGCTAATTGAAGTAAGTTTCCCCTCTTTTCAGACACTTGGGATAACCATGCCTGATGTTTGCATTTACAAGCCAGCTAGTCATGCATCATTACCAGGCTGTCAAATCTAATCTCACTGTTGGTGAAGATTTTGAAAGACCAAGCTCAGCACATTGTTTCATTAACCAGAAATCTCTCCCACTCTTTATCTTACAAACTAGCTATTTTTTTTTCAGAATACAATTTCTTATTTTCTTTTAATAGTTAGCAAGTTAATGCACCTACAAAGAATTAGAAGTCCTTAAAATATTCTAAAAATAGATGAGAGAAGCCTACAATTGCTTGAATATCTGCAATCTAGGACTAATGTTAAGCAATTATTTCAAATTGGATTAAGAATCCATTGTTAATAGAACTTGATGATCTTGTAGAAGCAGTGTGCTGTCATGTCAGGGCTGGGGTGGCTGACCAGACGGCTTGTGTGCAGAGTGGCTGAGGAAAATCCTTCTAAACATTACAGAAGAGAGGGAAGAGGTGAGATTGCCTTTTATCTCACCTACTCAAGACATTGCATTGGTAAATATTATGCAAACATATAAAGGGATTTACAAGGCAAAGCAATTTAAAGACTAAAATGTCCTGAAACCAGTGACTGTATGAGCAAATCTGCAGCTGAATGGCTGAATAAGCATCTGGATGTCACAGTAACAGTATATTGACCAGCTCTAGCTTCAACACAGCTATTGTGGTTTTGGTCCCCTGCATTCTTAATCTTTGTTTTTTGATTTTTGATTTTTTAAGAAATCAAATAACTTAATCTTCTTCTAATGAGTAAAATCCTTTTCTGTCTTTTATTCTCCAGTTTCACCCACATGGGACATGTTCATGGATTCATTCTGTTTTTCTCTTTGAAAATGCTCAAGAATATTTGGTGTCAATTTTTCCAAGAAGTAGAAATCTTTCCTTAAAAAAATATCCATAAAGAGTTTATGAAGTGGTGTCTTTCAGGCATGATTTGGTTCACTGGCTGGTTTTTAATCTAACAGTCACCTGACTCACATTCATGTACTCTACTGGTTTGTAACCCATGCAGCTGGCTTACTGATACATGACCTACACGTGCTCGGTTCATTGAGTACAGACCCTTTCCTCTCAGCTAAAAATATCCTCGATTCATAAAAAATAATAATAATAAAAAAAAATGTCTTGATCTATTCAGATGTTATCAAAGGAGAAATAAAACGTGCAGTCCAGAATGTTTCCTGTACTTTTTTTTTTCAGCAGATCAAAAGCAAAACCAATGACTTTTTGGTCCAATATTTGTCAGCTGTAAAGTTAGCGGCATGTTACCATAAATACACGTGTTAAAACACCTCCAGGCATCTGCTTGAAATCTGGGAAACCTCTTTTGGGGAAAGCTTTACTGGAACTACTATTACCCTGACAGCAATTTAAGAGAAGTCTTCTGTCAGAAATGTAGGATGTAGGAGCGAGAATCCTGTCAGAGCACTTAACAAAACAGAATCAGAGCTGAACTCCCACCCTGACTGTACAGCAGCCCTGTGGTCTGTAGGACTTTCCATCCTTGGCTGGTTAAAATCTGAATGTTAAGAAAGAACCCATTTTATCTGCAAGTTTTTAAGTTTCACACGTGGGGTTTTTTTGTTCTCATTTGGTCAACACTTTCAGAGTTTGCTAGCATCTTAGTTCTCATTTGTGTTGTGCGGCTTTGGCGGGCTGGTGGATATGCATTAAAGAGTCAAAGTTTTGTTATGAGACATGTGGGTGAAGGCTACTTTTGCTTTCTAGAGCTGTCAGAGCAAGGAGCAAAATGTTTCATAAACACATGACGTTTTCACCTCCATACATGTTTTTCTCTTTTTGAAAAGATTACACATATGTTTGTTTATATAGCAATACAATCTGTGTTTGTGTGATCAACAAACCATTATTTCTTTCATTTCTTCTCTTCCATGGCAGCAATGGTAGCAAGGGTCAGGCTGGATTCCTGCTGTAGGAGACCTAGCCACTGCTTCAGACTCCCTGCAGCTGTACCTTGGCATTCTCTCAGCTCACTTCAGCCTACGTGCCCAGCAACAGCATCCCCCCCTCCTTTACACAAGCTTCCCAGGTGATCCAAGAAGGGTTGTGAAACTTCTTTTCAACACCATCAGAGAAAAAATTGCACTCGGTGGTAAAAATCTGAGTGTCTTTAGTATGTTTAACCAAGATGCAGGTTCACGTAGGGATCTTCCCACCTGTTATTTTTCAAAGCGAAGAACATCCTGTTGATGTTTAATGAGTGAAGGATCCACAGACAGTTATTTGTCAAGGACATCATTGTCCTTTTCAGGAGAGACAGCTGACACAAGGTGCATCCACACAGCTCAGCAGTGGCACACAGCCTGAAAAACACCTTTGGACTTGGAAGGCGGGTCAGCGATGCTATTAAGCAATACTGGATGGCTTTTAGGGCTGGTGGCGAGTGCTCAGAGCACAAGCATGACACATGTCTAAGCCTAAATTAGACTGAGGGGAAAGGAAGGTTTTGGGCTGGTTTCTCCCTGCTGGATAACCAGCACGATGGGCTGTGTCAAGTCAAAGAGGCCATCTCTGAACCAGCCCGAATTTTAACAGTGTGATGTCAGGACTGTGCACTTCTACAAATCACTGATGATTAATGCATACCGACCTTTTACATTTATGAACCTAACCAAAGCTGAGGTGGTGCAGACGAGACAAGAGCCAAATTCAGAGCAGACACACGACTTTCTGCAGACATTCAAAAATGCGGTTGGTTGCTCACAAATCGTTTTGTTTTTTCGAACCGATACCCAGTGTGACGGAAGCAGGTGTGCTCCTCTCTGTGTGGGTAATGGGGCAAGTAGCATATGGCTCTTTTTTTTTTTTTTTTTTTCCCCAAAAAATGATTTTTTGTTCTCTTTCATTAAAAAACGAGATAACTTTACAGCAGAGCTTCTCAGCTTTTTCGGAAGATGTAACACAGAAAAAGGGGAGCCACCAGGCCAGAGCCCCGCACCGGTGTGTGGTGCTGCCTGCAGACTCCTGCACCTCACTAGAGCCGGGGGGGTGAAACACCTCGGGGCGAGCCCAGGCCCTTGGTCCTCTTCCACGACTTCGCGAGTTCACCACTGCGCCACGCGAGCCGCGCGGACTACAACTCCCAGCGTGCCTCGCGCGCCGAGCCCCGCTGCCCTTAGGGCTCGAGGGAGCGCTCGGCATGCCGGGGCGCGTAGTACGGCGGGGCGGGGGCGTCGCGGCCTCTCCCCCGCCCGGCCGCCATTGGCCGGGGCCAGCCCCCGCCCGCCCGCCGCGGCCCGCGGTGGCCTCGGTGCGCCCCGCGCCGCGCCCGCAGCAATCACAGCGCCCGCGGCCCGCAGGCAGCGCGGTAAGGGCGGCACGGGACCGGGCAGGGAAAGCCAGAGTGGGGCTTGGGGGTCCGCGTTACGCCGTGGGGGGGTTCAGGGCTCCTAATGAGGGAGCTAATTAGCCCCGTAATTAGCGCGGGGCAGCGCGTCGGGGGGCTGGGAGGCGCGTGGGGAGCTGCGGCACCGGGAGGAGCTGCTCGGAGTCACCCCGGGAGCGGGTCCGGCACCACCAGTCCTGTATTTTATTTTTGTTTTTTGTTTTTTGTTTTTTTTTTTTTTTCCTGTGGGAAGTGGTGCCGCCTCGCTGCTGCTGGGGGAAAGGAGCCCGCACGCAGCGGGGTGAGTCCAGCATTGCACTGGGGTGCCTTGATTTGGCGCTGGAAATGCGCGGAGTTGTTCAGGGATAACGCAGGAATCGATTCGTGCTTCTGCATTGCAAGTGGCTTATACAGCTTCTGAGGGTGTGTTAACCACTAGATGCATTAGTCCTAATCAATTAAGCTGATTCATAAAGTATTTACATGCAGAGTTTGTAAATAATTGTATTGCAACAGAAACCGTAATCTCCATGGCCTTCAAAACGTAGCTTATCGGAGGCTGCGGTCACAAAGACTTCTCCTTCCTCCCCTGGAAGTGTACAAAGAAAATCAGGCGAACTCTGCAGGGCTGAGGCGGTTTCGGTGCTTCAGCCCACGGACCGGACGGCACAAGCAGGTAGCATATTGCTGACAGGGCTCTGCAGGCACCAGGCTCCTGCGAGGAGGGCTGTCACGGGTCGCGTGGTTTGCAGAAGTCAGCACCTAAATGTTGCGGGGACAGGCTGGGCGCAAGCACTACCTGGGAAAAGGAATCGTGGCTTGATTCTGAACACTAAAAGGTCATAAAAATGCTTTGAAAATTAAAGGTCATAAGAACAGCAGCTGGGAAAAAAAAAAAAAAAAAAGATTTCCAAGAACTGGAGTGATCAGCTGATCAGCACCAGCTAAGGCTGTTTGTTTTCTCCAGGACTGCTGTTAATTCATATGAAGGGAAAATGTGCATACGGCTTCTCTTTATGCAGCTCTTAGAGGCTGTGCTTGAGCTGTTTGGAGTTTAAGCTACTGGGGTGTCAACATCTCTCTAAACACCAGTGGAAAATACTTTGATCAACGTGAGCTACTTTCTGTAGCGTGAGCTGGTGTCTTGCTGCTCTCAGACTTTTGATCTTAGTGGAGCGCTTCTCTAGGGAAAGGCTGGGAACGCAGTGGGAGCAGGCTGCTGGCCAGCAGAATTATCCTAGCAGACCCGGCTGCTTCCAGAGGTGTTGCTAAGCATCCCTCTGATAGTAAGTCAGGGAAGTGTGCTAGCAATGCGATGCAAAATGGTTAAGGGACCTCAGGGAGGACGTGCAGGTTTTAAGAGGTGAGTGAATTACTCTGGTCACACTGCTTACCGGGGCTGTGTGAACTGTGAGCGATGGTCCTGCGTGCATGGGTTGGATGCTGAACCACTGTGTCTGCGAGATGTGCCTTGCTCCTGACATGGTCTCCAAAGCAAGGTTAACTCTTCCACTAGGAACACTAAGAAGAGCTGATGAAATGCTTTCCTATTTCTGGGGGGTTAACCAAAGCTGTAAAATGGTCTTGTGAATTTTCAGTTCTGCTATGCTTGATCTGTCGATCACGATGGATTCAGTTCTGGTCATGTTTGTTTTATGCAGTAAGACTCTTGCTTTGCATGCAGTTAGGATGGCTCGTGACAGATACTTTATTCCTTGCTTTCAAAAAAAAAAAAGGCTGTTTGCATGCCTGTGGTAAGCTGGTCAGCCAAGCTGGTTTCTCTTCTAATACAACCTGAAGACATAGCATGTGACGGGAACTTTCTCTTCTCAGCTGTGGGTCAAGTACTCTTTCAACACAACCCAGAATGCAATCTTTTTAAATTGCCTGCCTGAGCAATCAAAGGCTTTCTTTCTTTAAACCAAGCAGAAATATGTATTTATTTTTCTCTAGTGTTTGGAAACGAGGAATGAAAGACCTATTCCCACTGCACATGTTTAATGGTTAAGCCTATCTTAAAAGCTCCTCGATAAACCTTGGGGAACAGAGCATTTCTTAATTGTGGCTTGTTAATGCACTGAGGTGTGTCTAGGCTTTTTTTTTTTCCCCTTTCTATTGTTAATACGATTTAATTATAGCAAAGGAAAAAGATAAGTGGGATTATGTCATTAGAGACTATAAGAGAGGAGTGTTTTCTACCCTAAATAATCCATGACAAAACACGGGTGGCTTTCTAATAACAGTGCAAACATTGCTTGGCACTTTTTTTCCCATCACTTCTGTATCGTTCCCAATTTCGTGTCGGCAGAGATGAGAAATGTGATGATCCGCGTATCCTTGTGCTGCGTGGGAGGCTGTTCAGTTCCTCGTGGAGGGACCGCCTGGGTGGGTTGGTAACCTAGACTTCGTTCCATATTCAGTCTTCATTCATTCCTCTGTGCCGCGGGGCTGGCAGCTGGAGCACCCCGTCCTACTCACCTGGGGTCCTGGCAGCAAGAGCTCTGCGTTAGCGTGGTCCAGGCTGTGAATCCATCAGCTGAGACACTCACACTGTTTCCAGTTCAGCCCATAGCCCTCGGGAGCGTGTTTTCTCTGAAGTCACTCGGTTGCGTGGTGTGCCAGCAGTGGCCGTCCCCATGCGCCGGGTGCCTCTGCCGGGCTCTGCCCTCGCACTGTGCTGACCAGCGAGCGGCTGCCAGTGCCGCAACTTCTCCTGGTACCCACTGAATTTGAGTTTGTGGTTTGCATCTCCAAGAACTAAGCCTCATGTGCCAGGATCTCCAGCCCTTCAGTATCACTTGAACCGGTTAGTTCCTCTTTGCGCTTCTCCTGTAAGTACGAATGATTTTAGCTGGAGAAGTGAGAAGTTGTGCTTTAATTAACATGGAAGAGGTTTCTTCGTGTGAAACAAATGCTGAGCTTTGAGGGATCTGTTCGCATGAAACTTGGCTTTATATTCCAGCATGTCAAACTCAGTTAAGATCTCTATGTGTACGGTCTAAAATACATTCATTTTTCTCTTCTTGTCTCCTATTTCAGGAGTCAGGTATCCCTGAAACCGAATAGTGGGGAGGAATAGGTTTGTTCATCTATGGCATATTTTGGCACTTGACAAAAGTATTGAACTACTTGATATGACTCTCAGCCGTGATATAGGCAATAGAATAGGTGCCTTTTTTTGTTTGTTTCTGGATGTTGTAAGCACAGCCCATCCTCAAGGCAGTTGTTGGTATGTTATCTGAGTCATCGGGAGAAGTGACAAGGTAGACAAGGCAGACTTGGCATACAAATTCTATGGCAGCACCATGACAAGAATTCACAAATGCAGCTCAACATGAGAGATTGTAGTTTTCTATCAAATCACGGGAAGTTACTGCTCGTTCCTTCATGTACATCTAACTGCTGAAGTAGCTAATAATTCAGCAAACCCTGTGTTGTTAAGTTATCAAGTATCGTTCTTGCTCCCAAATTCCACACTTGCAGGCAGTGCCAGCAGAGGCTTATTCCAGAAAGATAAGTGTGCTAGATTCAAACGAGTTTTTGGAAGAAGTGTTGTCACAGCACTTAACAGTTCTTTTTTCCCCTCTCTGTTCTGGAGTTCACTGGTGTGGTAATAGCTTTTCCTGTAGAAAAAACAGTGTGCTAACATGACTTCCTTCACTTTGTGCTAGCTCCATCAAAAAGGAAAACAAAAAAGTTCAAAAATATGTATAATTTTTTCTTTCCTATTACCACCTGCATTGCTTCTCTTGTTGACGAGGAGATCCAGTCTCAGAAAGAGCCATACTGCACGTTATGTGAGCAGCTTTCACCACACGCAGCTGCTTTGGGAGTGGGCTGGTTACTTCTCTGGTTCAGCCCCGTTTGAGGAGCTGCACATGGATGTTTCTGGCTGTGTGAGCTGATACTACGTAGTATGGTAACCCAATACTGACTTTGATACTGTTTAGTTATTTGGCATAGTGGTAGCTTTGGCGTTAAGCTTTCTGATGACACAGTATGTTTGGGGAATTCCCAGTTTTTATTCCAGTAAAAGCCACGCTAAGTTGACTATTCCACTCTTACAAAACCTCTTATGTACGTGTGAGCAATGATCAACTTCCAGAATCTGTTTTTGTAACCAGACCAGTATCAAATCCCACACAGGATCATGCAGTTCTTAGGGGGACTTTGCTTTAGGATGGCACGTTGGGTGCAGCAGACTGTGTGACAGGTGAACATAACCCTCCTCCCACTCACCCCCAACCAAAAAAGCAAACTTTTTTGTTAGATATGGTCAAGTGGTTTTGTTTTGTAGCAAACTTAATCAGACAATTGAGGTGCTCAGGCAGCCGATTAGTAGGGACGCTACCTGTCCCTCAAGAAAGTCCTCTCAAGAAAGCAGAAAATGCCATTTCTGCCTGGATTCAAAACTCTTCTCTGGCTCTGGTTTTCTGAATTTGGGTTCACAGGCTCAGGCCTTACTCTGTCACTGTGCAGCTTGTGCATATGCTTAACCATTGTGCAAAATAGATGAGAATACTGCTCTTTCATGTGGTACCCGTTCACATTTGCTCTCCACCAGCATAACAGGTTGCACAAATAGCACGAGGCTCTCACAGCCTGCACTTCCCCTCAGCCTCAGCAGCAGGGCTGTATCTTGCGCAAAACAGCACTAAGGGCTGTCCCCACCCTTGCTGGCGCTGTGGGTACAGAGAGCTTTTGTGGCCCTCTGACCTTGCACTCCCAAGCAGTTCTCCGTGTCTGTGCATCATTGTGCCCACATCACCAGGGATTTGACTTCATGATAATGGGCTTGTTGCCAGTCAGCAGAAACCAGTAAATTATCCAAGCAGAGGAGACCAAGAGAGCAGTATTACCCTGAAAAAAAATCATCTATGAAATGCTTGATAGTGGCACTTGTCCTGTGTTAGAGATTTTAGTCACTGCCAGCTACTATAGAACAAAACAACCAGAGGGAGCTGAAAGACATGGTTGTACTGTTCAGGACTGCTGTCAGTTAGATTTGAAAGCTAACAGAAAAGTCTTGTAACTAGCAGCAGCTTGGTGCTAAGGAAAGATCTGACCAGAAATTACACTGTGGGTTGAATTGTCCTTGAAACTAGATGCCCTCCTTGTGGTACTGCTGGTGTTTGCTTTGGATTTGTTTTTTTTTGACTGATGTCCTCTGATCTACTTCTCTCAAACTTCTTTAGGGATTTTTTCTTCCTCCCATTTGCGGAATAAATAAAGGAGAGAGATGATATTGGAAGTGGTTGTGCTGCTGGGCTGTGCTCTGGGCATCAGCACCTTCCCCCTGGAAGAACCTGAAGATGGAGGCAAGCACTGGGTGGTGATTGTTGCAGGCTCAAATGGCTGGTACAACTATCGACACCAGGTAAGGACCACTGATCCCACATGCTGACACTGACCATGCTCCAGAAAATGCCTGCTCTGGGATGTGCAGGGAGATGGTAGCTACCTAGGTTAGCTCAGCCCGTACGTCATTTGGGCAAGTGCTTCCACTTCTGGACTTCCAGGATTGTGTGGAGTATTCTAAAAGAACAGCAACAAGATTCATGCACAGCCTGCTCTTTTATTGTCATTCTCATCCCCAAAATTACCCTCTGCTTTTCCTATGAAATTCAAATAAATATGAATTTATTTGCTTGAGACTTTGTCCAGCCTTTCATCTTCTGAAAAGTTGTCATTAGCAGCAGGAGCTGTACTCTTCCTCTAGACACACTTCTGTATCTTGGGACACCTGTATCATTTAGGCTAAATATTCCATTACCATGCTAGAGCATCTGACCCCAACTTGCAGGTGAGTAAGTGATGTCTAGAATTAAACCTCATTTTTGAGAGACATGCATGTTTCTGTCCATTTGATTTCTTATATCATAACATGAAATATCTCCATTTCTTCTCGGCCAGCAAAAGTCTTAGCTAAGGCTATATATCTACAGTATGTTTTTGTGGGGTGAAGGACAAGGGTTCTTTTTAGCCTGAATCAGTTTGCTCACTGTTTTCTAAGGCAAGCAGTTCAAGGCTACAGACTTGTGCTGCCACAACAAGATACAGTGCACTGGGGTGCAGGGTGGAAAGAGGAGAAAAGGAAACAGGAACCCTGAAAATTGATGCTGCTGTCAAAGGCAATGTTGTGGAATTATGGTCTGATTGCGAGTGTCAGGATGGACAGGACTGTGACTTAACTCTGATTAAGTTCAGGGCTTATAATCAGCAGTCAGGAGACTAGTCAGGAGCAGTTTTTTTCCTTTGGGGAATTCTTGGGCAATCCCTTAAACAGATTTCATCTACACTTAAACATGGTCTTTGTTAGATGGGAACATCTTGCTTCCATAGAGAACACAGTGTATTTAATTCTGACTTAAAGCATACAAAAAGAAACATAAAGTATGTTTCTAAATGTTAGAAAAATATTTTACTATTGTTAGTTAAGGTGGAGCAGAGATTGACACACTAGTGTCCAAAACCAGTATTTTAGAAGTTAGGCTGTAGTAAATGTTCTGGGTACATATATCAAACTGACTTGCTGAACAATTGAAACTTGCTATGTAATGATTATTTTTAATGCAGCTGCCTGTAAGATATAGAGACCTTATCTTCTTCATTTCTGTTGATTGAGAGAGAAACAAACCTACTATGTGTTCGTTGTGCATGCTGGCTTTTAAATTTATGCCTCTCCTCCTTCTCTGCTCACAGTTGGTTTGGTACTTTCTGTGCAGTAATGAGCATAAAACTTGGTGAACCAGACTGACAGCGTTCTTGCACTTGAAGAAGAACCTGTTACTGGCAAATGCTAGCTTAATGTTTGGACAAACTGGCTTTAGGGATTTGGGCAGCTCCTTGAACTGTAACCATTACCAGATAGCCATAAGTGATATATTATTAGCCCTATCATAGACTATTCCTATTGCAAATGAAATCTGAAGGAAGGTATTTTTAAAGCTGAAATCTCAACAGAAAACAATTGCAAAACCACTAGTGTTGTACTTATCACTGCCCCTCCTGGCATGTCTAAATGTAATTATTCTGAGTCGTGCTTTGGTTGTTGCGTTGCTGTATAATCAGTCTTATTGGCTCACTTCCTCTAGGAGGAGTTAATGCGGCAATATTTATTCTTAAATAAAATCACTTTTTGGAAGCTGTGGTTCACGAGAGTTCCTTTTCTACAGTGGCCCAGCCACAGGGCTTTAAATAGTTCTGCTGGTGGGCCTTCAATAGCAAGTACGTCTGCCAGGTATAAGGAAGTTATGAAGGATGCCAGATGTAACCTTAAGTATTTGTGTCCAGTGCTAAGTCAGAATTTCACACCAGCAAATTAACTTCAGAACGTGGTCACTTACTCATAGTTAGGTAGATTCTTTTCAGGGTTAGAAAATTGAGAATGGGGTTTCTTTGAATACCTTCATTTCTGGAGAGAACATTGACTAGCAATGCAAAATACCTGTAATATTTAAATCCTAGAAACGTCTGTATTTTAACCCCTACCTCTTGTTTCAGGTATAGTATTAGTGTTTGGAACAAAAATTAGAACACCATTAAGAATCCCGTCAAAGTTGTAAAATCAGCTATAAAATAAGAGTCAGCACGATGGATCCTTCATAATGGGATTGAGCTCCTACTGAGCTGCTCTGGGCAAGTCAGTGTGCCTAGCTTCTTACAAAAGAGTTAGTTCCCAGGAGGTGCAACACGTCAGAAGCCTGTGCTGTCTTGTCTAGCTGCCTCTTTTGGCCAACCTCAGGGGCTGGGCAGGAGTGAGCAGCCCTGGCAGGAGGGCATACTCTGCGACAGGCCCAGCAGCTGGTCAGGGAACTGTGTGTGCTACAAAGTGTAAGCTGGAAAAGGGTGTCTGGGATATCAGAAATTTAGGAAAACTTTTTCCCTGGAAAACTGGCAGAACAATAGATACTTTTGAGGAGAGTTGGACAGAAGAGGAAAGGTACTGCAGAGAACTCAGGAGTTCTTACAGACTTTTAGAAATGTTATGCAGAGTGATCACTAAGGTCTTTGCATGTGTTAGTACTCCCTGCTTTCCAGCTAAGGAAGCAAAAACACTGTGTTTAAATGACGTGTTCACTGGAACCACGAACCAGACTTGAACTTCCAGTTCTATACTTCATCCGTCATGAAAGTTGTGCTACAGTAAACATACAAGTTTCAGTAGAATAATAATTTTCAATAGAGCAATAGTTGTACTAACAGAAAACTATGCAGTGCTTCAGAATTGATGATTTCTTTGCTTGATTCTTTGTAATTCTTCTACTTTCCAAAGGAGAAATTGCAGAAGAAAATACATTGTACTCTAATCCACTTTATCCTCCTGCCCCTGCCTTTCTTCCTCAGAACCTCTCTGATCTAGCCTGCATACAAAAGAATTTGTAGATGTGAATTTTCCCGTAAGTAGATACTCAATGTGACTGTTACTTATTACCAGACCAGACACTATTTCCTAAATGCCACTAAGCACTCATAATATCCCTTTGTAAGTTGAAACCTCAGCTGACACGTATCTGGGTTTCAATTGCTCAGTTCAGCTGTTCGGTGTACAGTTAATACATAGCACTGCATGTATGTATTACACTTCATGTTTTGTGAGCTCCAGTTGCTTTGCATGCTGTCTGCACACAGCACAGTCAAAACGTACTCCGCTGCCTTCCGCAGTAGTTACCTGGTGACAGGATGTGTTCGTCTGACTACGCAACCGTAAAAGGAGGGGGAGAAGGTTCATTTTTAAAAATGTCTCTAATTTCATACATGAAAATTTTTTGGGAAAGTAGTCCATCATTGAACACTGTACAGACTCCAGCAGCAGTAAGTTTGTAAAGACTGTGCAGACCCTGCAGAAAGTTAGTTTGCACCTGTAACCTCAAGGAATCTGAAACTCCTTCTAAGACTTATCTGTCAGTGGTCAGAATCCGCTGTCAGTGGTGCAAACCTCAAGTGTAGGCAAGATAAGGAAAAAAAACACTATTTGCACTTATCTATGCTTCAGATTCACACCTTGCAGGGCACTTGTTTTCCGTTTTGGTGCCTAAACTGGGACTGTTTCCACACCAGGATGAGCAAAACTTGTCTTTTACAGTTATCTGATCAAGTTCTTAACATAAATGTTAAATGTTTTGTATAGTATACAGTCTAATGTGATAGACTCCCTGTTATTACAGAGCTAGCCTACATATAGACTTATGCTTGGTGATTCTCCGTTCTTCAGTGTTTTTAGCCATATCTTTAGTATTTTTGATTAGACAAAACCAGTGCTTCTTGTTCTTACTGCTGTGATTGTACCAGCTAACTCTAACCTAAAGTTGGTTTTACAAGTAGATCAAGAGGAGAGACAGACCAATTCTGTCTGGATACCCCAAAAGGCAAAAACGAACAGTGTCAGTGGAAAAGCCTGCTGTGAAATGCAGTCCTACCAAAGGCAGAGCACATACTCAAGGAGGGAAAATAGCTTTAAAAAATCTGGCAAAATTAAAATGCTGAAAATATAAGCTTCTAAATTTGCATACATGGTTTTATTTCTGGTCACTGTTTTTAGTCTTGCATTTAGTGAGCTTTATGGGTCAGGGGTTGTGCTTATGAAGAGTTTTGGGCACTATGAAGCAGAGCAGTTCCTTAGTTCAGGACAGTCCGTATTAATTCTCCAGTCATTCAGGTAACGGACATAAAGGATGCCTTGGCTACTCGGCTTCAATTAGCTTTTCCTCACTGTGCTTATCAAATTATAAGTGAAGCTATGGGAAAAGCTTTCCTAAATCCTTAATACAGGTATGGGTGTTGACTGATTGACTGGTGTTTAAGGGCTGGAATGAAGCATAGCTGACATTTTCAGCCCCGAGCAGAGCAGGCTGAGGGGAGGCCTCATGGCGGCCTGCAGCTCCCTCATGAGGGGAGCGGAGGGGCAGGCGCTGAGCTCTGCTCTCTGGGGACAGCGACAGGACCCGAGGGAACGGCATGGAGCTGGGACAGGGGAGGGTCAGGCTGGGGGTTAGGGAAAGGTTCTGCACCCAGAGGGTGGTCGGGCACTGGGACAGGTTGCCCAGGGCAATGGTCATGGCACCAAGCCTGCTGGAGTTCAAGAAGCACTTGGACAACACTCTCAGACCTGTCAAAAAAAAAAAAAAAAAAAGGCATTCTGCTCAAAAGCTGTGTCACTGAAATGTTTAAACAGCTTTATGACAGATGAGAGTGAGGATGGTTGCCTTTTTTTTTTGTTGCTGTTGTTTTCTTTTAGAGTTTTCTCCCAGTGCCCATTCCAGGATAACAGGGGAGTTCCACCTCTGATCCCTATGATTTCAAGAGCTAAGAGTTAATTACTGAAGTGAATTTAAGCACAGATCTTCCATAGCAATTTGCTGATACAGGAACAGGTTTAGAGGAACTTGGGAATAAAAGATCTGAACCGTCCCACTAACAGTTTCCTTTACGACTGGCACCTGGGCTGGGTTGTGCAGGCACAGCTGTACAACTATATATACCTTCTCCTTCTTCTCTGCTCTTGCTAACAGGACAGCTGCTACCCACACCAAATCATGACCACAAAATCATGACTTGCATTTAGTGATGGTTTTATACAGCAAATGTTCATAGCATTCATTTCACTTACAAAATCAACAAGAATAACACCAACTAGAGACTAGGAACAACGTTAGTTGTCTCTTTTAGGGTGGTTTTACATGTATAGCCATGTCACAAATACTTCTGGAAGAAACAAGGCTTAAACAGCAATATTTGATAGGCACTTACTGATCAACAGGAAATAGATTCACATATGCCTCCCTACTCTAGCAGCAGGCTGTTTCTATTCTGGTTTTATAGAGATTATTTTTTTTCTGTGTGTGGGAGGAAACAGGACAAGCATATGACCAGCATCAAAGGTGGCTTGTCTGGTCAGCTAACTTTACACACAAAAAGTCATTTGCTCAAAACCTGAATGTTTATTCTAGCTAAACCAAAGGAATTTTAGCAGCAAAATGTATTTTTGCTACTCTAGCCTATGTTGGTGGTACCATTGCATTACCAGTAGGCACAATTCTCTTAGCAGAAGCCTTAAAAGGTTGAGACAAACCCCAAACAGGCATAAGTCAAGGTTGTTGGGAATTCATGTGTTTTCATGCACAGTAGGGAATTTAAATTTACCACCAAGATCTGAGTGAGACAAGACATAGTGAGCAAACAGTCAATGAATCAGAAGGAAAAGAAGTCACCAAAAAAGGCTGTTGACATTCATTTATGAAGCTGAACTAATTTTGGGTACTTTGGTATTAATTTAGAGTACTTCAGAAGTTCCTGTGGGCCAGACACGTATCTATGGGAGCACAGACACTTGCTAGTTGAATATGTTGGCATTCTGTCACTATAATAAGCCTCAGCATCTCCTTGTGTTGCCAGCCTGCAGCTCTTTCTGTCAGCCTAACAGAAGCAGTGTACTGTGTCTCGAGGGTGAGAGGAGAGCCATGATCTATCTACTCATCAGGCTGTGTAGAGAAGCCCAGATGAGTGTTTTCTACTACTTTGGCCTGGCTTGTTTCTGAAAATCAAATATATGTATAGTCAAATCTGCACTCTAGTGTTTTGTATCACACGGGGTACCCTTATAACTGGGTTTAACCTCTGCCTTTGACTTGTCGAGGCAGCAGCTGCCATAGTGCTGTACAAGGAAATGGGGAACTCTGAACAGTGTGGATTGCTTGGGACAGGTGGGAGAAAGCCTAGCCTGACTCACGGAGTAGGAAATGGAATGGCTTTCGGAAGGATAGTTTAATGTTCAGGGTTAGTTGCATGAAGAGATTTTGCTGTGGGAGAGTTCCTTAACAGTGAATGTGCCTCGCCCTTCCCGGAGTCTTGCACAACTGCCAGCTGTTTTTCAGCCACACTTGGGAGATGAAGAATTTTAAAGTGGCAGGATTTTACAGCATCTTTTTAGTTAAACTAGTGGAAATCGCTAATGCACCTAAGTCAACTAAAATTTAGGAGGACCACACAAGCCACTTTAGTTTGGTGTATGAATTAGCAAACTAGACTAGTTCTGCAGAAGTAAGATTTAAAGCTTACTTCTTGCCTACATTTGGAATTTTTATTTGTTAGGTGAGGTTTCTTCTGTTAAATCTGCACAGGTTTTCTTGCATCTGGGTTTTGTAGTTCAGGAGTTTAAGTGTGATTGCTGATAACTCGTTCAGTCATTCCCAGGCTGCAAGTCTAAAAGAAAAAAAAAGTATGTGCTGAGGTCACTATGAATTTAACATTCTGACAGAGGTTCATACTTGACTGTAGTAGTGCTTTAATGAGTATTGCTGTTTCTGTGCCATCAGAAGACAGTTCTATAAAGAAAATGTGCTTATTCATATCCTCTACAGGTCAGAAAAACAGCCTGAATAGAAAGCTTGCAATTCTGTTTTCCACGGAAATGTTTTCTTGCCCTGAACTTGCTGTGGTGTCACTTTATGAGAAATACATAATTAAAAAGGAATTTTTCCCTAACTAAAATTAAAAACAAAGTTTTGTTTTGTAGTAAAACAAAATTAAAAACAAACAAAAAAAAACAACAAACTAAAACCAAATCTTTGCAGAGTTGAGATTGGTAAACTGTACTTGTTTAAGCCAAGGACAGTCTTTATTGCTTATTCATGCAGGCTTGGTGCAGAACTAATTGAAATTGGTGGAAATCCAACTCCTCCTTCCTCTGCTTTGAATCTGTCAGTGCACAATGTTTTCGTTTAGATTTCCTTGCAGAATTCAGAACATTGCCGAGAACTTTTTGTTAAATTTTGTTATTTATAACAAGTATCAGTTAACTTCTGGATTCTGTATAAATAGGAATTTGAAAAAGGTAGATGGAGAGATTTTAATCATAGTCTTTGTTATTAATACAGCTATTGCTAGTTAGAGAAAGACATTGAGTTTTGGATTGAACCTGTGCATTTCAGCCCTCTAACAACCCTCAATCTCTTAAATTTGAAATTAAAATACTAGGATGGAGTTTCTTTTGGACAATAGCATGATCTTAGGTTGGCAAACTGTTTCTTCTGTTCTCAAAGGTCCATTAAAGTCTCCATTAAAGCTAGTAATGAAAACCTGCTTACTTCTAGGCAGACGTGTGCCATGCGTACCAGATCGTACACCGAAATGGAATTCCAGATGAACAGATCATTGTCATGATGTATGATGACATTGCAGATAATGATGAGTAAGTGTTGAACATGAGCTGGTAACAAACTATCTTTGCTAAAATATGCCATATGTTTGAGTTTGTAGTAATTTTGTAGGACCAGTTTTTAAAACTGCCTGAGATATGCACAGAGATGTTTTATGCATCAGCACAGTAGGTCTGCTTTGTAACATGCTCTTGAGCTTTCTAAGCCTTTATCCACAGCTCAGCATCTTTGATACTGAGGACTCCAGAGCTCCTTGTCAGTTCGTCATTGTTATGAGAGCAATTGATCTTAGCTTCCAGGCATAACAGTTTTCAGCAGATAACCTAAAAACACAAGCATGGGGAAGCTCTGTATGACTGAGCTTCTATTGAAAAGATGTTATCAGATTGATTAATCCCCAGAAAGCAGATTGAACAAAGAAATGTATATGTCACATCCTTGGTCACTGTCTGGAGTGTGTCATTGCTTTTGATATAAAACTGTTCACTTATACAGCCTTTAATTCTGAAACAAACTTGAGCAGAAATCAGCAGATTTCATTTGCACAACAGCAGTGGGAGCAGAGAATAAAGGGCATTAAAGACAAGACTGAAAGCAGGGAAATAATACTATAACAGACCACCTGCCTGTATCCTCAAATTAATCTACGCAATCTGAGGTAGGATACTTGAAGGTACTGTGAGGGCAAAGACACCTAAACTGAGCATCTGTAACTGACTGAAGGGAAAAGCTCTTTGCATTCTGTGTTGACTTAACAACACATGGCACAAGTACTCGTACTGTCTAAGGTAAGCTTGCCAGGCAGGACAGTTTAAATGTTTTTCTAGTTGTTCTGTGGCTGTTGTGTAGTTCATTACTAATTCTTCATATTTATGTCCCTTTAAACTTTCAGGAATCCCACAAAAGGCATTGTCATCAATAGACCTAATGGCACAGATGTGTATGCTGGAGTGCCAAAGGACTATACGAAGGAGGTAGGAATGAAACCTCATTCCTCAAGGAAGCTAAGATTCAGTGTTAGCCAGTGCTCTGGATAAATCCTTTTAGACTGTACCTTGCACACTAAAATGTACATAGTGTAAAATCCCCATCATGCATGATTTGGCATAAAGTTCCGTGTTCATTAGATGAATGTAAACACTAGATGTTTGGAAGTAAAGCAGTGGTCATAAAAGCAAATCCTTACATTGTCTTTCATTCAAAATTGTTATAACTCAATCTGAAGAACAGCTCTTTTAAGATGAATTGTTTCATTAAGTCAGAAGAGTAATGCAATCACTTGGTGATTTCATGATTCGGTATCTGAGTGAGTCATCAGTGCCTAATGTGCTATTGGTGATAGGTTGAAAGGAAGGGTCTGTGCATGCAACCCAACAGTTAAGGGTGAGGGTGGAGTGTTAAGTTCAAGATGGGAAACTGTGTCAGTGAAACTAAAATCAAAATTATTTATTTAGGGATCTTTATTTATTTATTTATTCCACACCATATCAGTAATACAGTTAAGACTAGATCCAGAAATTCTTTTGCCAGCGTAATGTAATGGTAGGGACCTGAATGTAGGGCTGAAGAGATAGGTGAAAGTGGGGCAAGGCAGGAGCTTTTTATTTGGCTTTACCACCAGAACAAAAATCTCGAGAAACGATGAACATTGTGTTGCATAGTGGCAGTAAGACTTTTCTTTTATCCCCAGAAATTTAAGTAGGAACAAAAATGTGGATTTCCAATTATAACTATACAGAATGAGTAAATATTCATTCTAATACAAAAACACTTTTTCAGCTTGGCTTGCACTTTTATTTTTATTTTTTTTAAGTGCTGAAGTATTGGAACAGGAATTACTTCCAGTATGAGCAATACAGGAAACTGAAGAAGTACTGTTCTGAGCATCAAGGGCCAGCTAAACTTGCTATCTATGCATGGATTCTAACTTTCAGAAACCATCTTTCTGAATGAAGATTGTGTTCTTGTTTTTATGATCACATTTAATTTAAATCCTCTTAAATTCTTAGGATGTTACTCCAAAGAACTTCCTTGCTGTTCTTAGAGGGGATGAGGAAGCCATGAAAGGTGTGGGATCAGGAAAAGTATTGAAAAGGTAAGAGGAGTTTCATTTAGAAAATAATTGCATGTGTAGTTGTACATTGGCACTGAATTCAGCAAAAGAAGAGCGTAAATTAGAGCCTTTTACAACTCGTGAATGCAGCAATTCCAGGTCATTCGTATTAGAGATACAATGGTTCTGGTTTCTGAAACTATCTAGCACCAACAAGCAACTGCTGACATTTGACTGGTATTGAGTCCAGTATAAGTGAAAATATAAAAAAAATCTTGAGGACAGTGTCAGCTATATTACAATATTTGTCATTTAGATGACAAATGTAAGATGTAAAAGTATGACGTCTATTTTCTAAGGTGTGGTATATTTCTGACAGTACTGTTAGCAGACAGTTATATCATGTTATAATTTTCTATTTACACTATTTCCTGTAAAAACTTTAAAATATGAATTTGACCATTTGGAAGAATTAGCCTAAGTAAGTAAAATCACATAAGTGCCTATTTCATCCAACAGTTCAATTTAGAGACAAAGCAATGAAACAAAATAGAAGAGTACTGCCCTGGCACTGGGGACAATAAAAACAGTGAAGGAGCAGGGCAAGAGTTGAATAAGTTATTGCTCTCAATTGTTTAAACTTCCTCATGAAGAGCTGAGATAGAAAATAATCTATGCAAGTCACATAGGTTAAAAGTTAATAAATCACTGTACAGTTACAAGATTGTTCTTTTCTAGTATCTACATTGAGCCAAGCAGCAAATATAGAACATTCTTTAGCCTAATTAAAAAAAAAAAATTACTTCAGAACACACCTCGCCTGTAAAACCTTGAAATTATAAGTCAAATAAAGGAGTGGATATGCATAAGGCCAAAGACTCTTAGCTGCTCAGGAAGACAACTTGAACCCAGTTACAAAAGTCTTAGTTATTTACATTTCACCTTGGCCCAATTTTTTGCACTTACAGTCAAGAGTGAGAGAGAGAAAAATGCCTCCCAGCCTTTGCTAAGTAAGCTCTGTTCTATGAATTTCAGTCAGTGCCCTGACTTCTGCTCTTGGGTGGGGCAAGAACTGTTTTCCTCTGCCTGAAAGCCTTCTAGAGAATCTTCCAGGTGATTCATAAGAAAAATCCCTTTGCAGATCAGGCTGTTAGGACAAGTTCTTAGTATCAAAAACATGATCTATTTGATTTACACTGCAATAAAATTCTACTGCAAACAGTGTGCCACGCAGACCTTAGGGCATCCATGCCTCAAAGCATGCAGTGCTCAACCATCTGCAGAGCCAGATAGGACAAATACCAGTCTAGTGAAATGGGTGAGTTTGTTTATAGATCAGTTCTTTGTGAAGACATAGGGCAATGCTGAGCTGGCTATCTAATGCCATATGGATCACAACAAGGTAGAACATAAATACACATAAGGATCTTATTAAAAGTTTTTATGGTTATCACGTGTTACTGGTGCCTTACCATAACTTAGTTATGAAATGATTTCATTTTTGCTAAAATGCCCACAGTAAAACAGATTCCTCAGACAAGCATTAAAAAACAGTTGTACTCCTGCCAAGTACTAGCCTCTGCCTGATCAGCAACCAGTTTTCAGTCTGAAACATGAGGTGTAAATGACTGATCCCCCATGCTTGGGGGAATAGCCATATACTCCTGCTTTTATTGCTCCTCCAGATATTCATTTCTTTTCATAAGCATATGAAGTAGTATGTTTTAGGAGGAAAAACTACTACCAAGAGCAGGAGGTGTTTCAGCTGCATTATTTTCAATTTTTGACATGCCTTGGCATTGATAAGCAGACAGTGTTTATGGTGGTAAAAATTAGGTTGGAGGGGTTAGAAAAATTTGTTTGCTATTTTCTCTTTACAGTGGTCCCAAGGATCATGTATTTGTTTATTTCACTGACCATGGAGCTCCAGGACTTCTAGCTTTTCCTGATGACGATGTAAGTATTATGGGGGAGTACTGTGACATTTGTAATAAAAAAAAATCTTGATGCAATAAAGATGCGGAGCAATATTCTCCTCGTTATTCCATTTTTTTGGGTCATCATTTGGCACCATGACCCATTTTTTCTAGTGGTAAATACTAGAGTGTTGTGTTTCAAAAGTACAAAACTGTAGATATGTTTAAAGGGAAGGAACAAATGTATTTACAACAGTTGGTAGTTATTACTATTAAATGAATTGTGTGTGCTGAACATCAGTGGTTTTAATACAAGTTTAATACAAGCCTTCTTATTTTACAGCTTCACGTGAAGGACTTGAATAAGACTATTTGGTACATGTATCATCACAAGAAATACCAAAAGGTAAAGAAGCATGTCTTTGTGTGATTAAAAGAGCGGCTGGCACAGAGGAGCGTGGTTTGTCTTCAGTTCCAGTGTCATGTAAAGCACAGGGAATCTGATACCGCACAATTAAACTTGAAGTAGGATTTTGAACTTACAGGACTGATCCTCTCCAATTCTTCCCTTTTCACTTTTAGTTCACTGATGCTATTTGCAATTGATGCAGCACAGCTGTAGCCCAGACTTTCGATAACGTGTATATTCTGACCAGCAGTGGAGAAACAACATCTCTAACTACCGCACCCTCATAATGTGTACCTGACTTGTCCTTCCTGTGCTTTGTTCACTTCAGACTGTGCTCTTGCTACAGGAAGTTTGATATGCCTCATGTTTTTCGTACAGTTACTAATGTAGCTGAAGAGACTGTACCTTTTCTTAGAAAATTCTGTGTGTTTATTTCATCACAAGTTGTTTTAAACTGAAAAACTAATATTTAGAACATTTTGGTAGCCTTTTTTAAGCAACTTTCCATGGTAATCTGTCTATTATGGCTGTTGTATTTAGGACCACGTAAGTGGCCATTGGTTCCAGAAATGTACATGTAATAGTGGTACATTGCTGGGTCTAAAGATTGACCATGTTTTTGATTTGTGCTTTCTACATTGGTCATCAGATTCCTATGGATTCTATAGGGATGGTTTGCGTATTTTTATTGTGATTGTTTTCTCTTTTCTATATAGTTAGTTCCCAAAAAAGAAAAATGGATCTATTTACTTTCATGTTTTGTTTTTGTAGCATTATGGATAGCTTTTGTTTTGGGAATATCAGGACAGGCCATTTAACTACAGCTGAAAAATACTGAAGGACTTTCATCCATTTGCTCATCGAATTTCTTAAGGTCTCTGATCTGTTTTATAGATGGTGTTTTACATTGAAGCATGTGAGTCTGGATCTATGATGAATCATTTGGCTGATCATATCAATGGTGAGCAATCAGTTAGCTGAATGGACCTGTCATAGGCAAGACCTAAACAGATACTGTATCAAGGAGAGGTTGTAGGCACTTGCATGTACAGTTTTAGCAGGGATGCACAAGAGTTAGAGAAATAAATGTTTTCCATTTATGAGAAGTTCCTTCTAAAGAACTAACGGAGTCCTAGAAAGACCGTGTAGGCTTTCGGTTTCTTGCAAATGAGAAGTTGAAAAAGTACTTCTTTTCAGAAACTACATGGTTGCCCTTAACAGGTAGCACCTGGCTTATACTGACATTTCTCAGCTTCAGCATTGTTTAACAGCAGGGATGAAGTTCCTGCTGACGGTTTCGTTGAGTAGCAAAGGCAACCATGGTACGCGATTGCCAAGCAGTTTGCTACCCTGATTTGGCTGGTAATACAGGAAGTGCAACAATGATTTTTCAGGGTTTCTAATCTCTCTGCTGTAGAGCTGGGAGCTAAGCCTTCATTAGCATGAGGAGTCACAACTCTTTCATGCTCTGCTTCATGTCTGAGAGACCAGATGCTCTGGCTTTCTCATGGTTTTGAAGCTCTGATTCGAAGGAAGACCCAAGCACAGGCCTGTCCGCAGCTTCCTGGGTCTTTTGCTCAGAAGTCTGGCTAGCAGCCACCTGGACTTACAGCCCTGTCAAGGATTTGCAGAAAGTTCACACAGAATGTTTCATAGCAGAGGTTCTTCAAAAATGCTCAGTGAATCAGCATGTTTCAAAGTTTATTCTGTTAGGAATTTCCAGTCTGGTGACTGGTTTCATTACTAGCTCTACTACTGATTTACAAAGGTGGAAAATTGACAATTCATGTATTAGAATAGGAAGCTGTCTTTGCTGGCCTTCAGTTGTGGCCTGCAAACCTTAACTGGTTACTTAGTAAGCATGTAAAAGATGCTAAGAAAGAGCACTTTACTGCACAGACAGGATTTGAGACTCTTTTTGGCTTTTAAACTGTAGATACCTTCCGAGTGGAAGCAACACAGTAGCAATAGGAAAAACATGCACAACTTCTTTCATTCTGAAACTTGGACTTTTCTCCAGTCATGCAAATATGCAATGAGTTGACCTTGGCAAAAAGCCACAATAGCTTTTGTATTAATATCTACAAGGAATTGTTTAAAATATTTCTGTTCTGAAAGAGAGGACTGGAAATGCTGTGTTTGGGTCAGATCTTGTAGAAGTTCGTTTAGCTTTTCCCTCTGTGTAGAGTGCTATCCTGGAGAGAATGTTTCTTAGAAAAAGAATTTTCTAGAATAAAGATGATTTATAGGATTTATTCTAAGCTTGGAAACAAATTCTGATCCTTGTAATTAGGAAAATGTCTGTAGGAAAATGTAAATAGGCTGTCAGTGTGCATTGTCAGGTAGTTCTTTGAAGAGTAGTTTTTGACAGTTTTTTCCCCCAAGAAGTGCATATTCTTGTTTAAATGCCCCAGACCACACGGTTGGCAGCAAGGAAGGAGCTCTTAAACAGCACTGACGCTGATGAACGAAATGGCTTATAGGTTTCTCTTCTTCCTGTTATTTAGAAGTAAATGATTGACAACCAAAATCCTTAAGCAAATATATTGTCTGTATATATTATATATTTAGTATATCATAAATCATGGAAGGGTTGGGGTGTTTAAAAATAAAACAAAACCAAAACCTGCTTTCCACTGGTCTTACAGTTTATGCAACAACTGCTGCCAATCCCAGGGAGTCTTCTTACGCATGTTATTATGATGATGAAAGGCAGACTTATCTTGGTGACTGGTACAGCGTGAATTGGATGGAAGATTCAGATATGGTAAGTTAGTAGATAAAGTTTCTGCATTTCCCTGCGTGAATATCACTAGCCTTAGAAAAAAAATAAAAGTTCTTTTAAAGGATTTATGAAAATCTTTGTTTTCATGTGAGACTGAAATCAACAAATTGAGTCAATAAAAGTATCTATCTACTATTCAGAACCATATAATTTTTGTTTGGGCAACTAAATGTATTTAAATATATTATTAGTAAGATTAGAAACTGTCTAGCTTCTAGTTTCAAGTTTACATCATCTTAATTTACTAATCCGAGACAACATATCCAAATTTGTTAAACAAATTGGGCAGTTCAGTAAGTTGTACCTCTTCATCAGAGCTCCTTACATACTGAACTGTAGCTAACCCACTTGCTAGCATCATGGAATATTGCATGGAATATAGCATATTGAAACAAGTCCGGGATTCTTATGTGAGCCCTCTCCCTTCTTGCACATTTGCTGGGAGATTAGGTGCTCACTAAAAGCAATTTGGGAATACCCCATCAAATTTCACTTCCATTTTTACTTCTATGTGTTTCAAAGGTTGTATAGCTCATGCCCTGTACTTCCTTCTACAAGCTGGCACCCAAGACCTTTTCTAGGTTTCCTCACATTTTTATAATAGCTGAATTTAAGTAGTTGTGATTACATGGAAGTTTCTTCATGCAGGAGGATCTAAGAAAAGAAACGCTCCACAAGCAGTTTCAGCTGGTGAAGAAACGCACCAACACCAGCCATGTGATGCAGTATGGAAACAAGGTACGTATGTGAGTGGGCTTCCTGGTCAGATGTATTTTAGAACCTTTTCTGCCCTACACATTTGTCCCTTTAAAAACAATGTAATCTGTTGATTTCGGAAATGAAACTGTTCATCACACACACAGAAAATCACTTAGCATCGAAGAGCTGATGATCCTGATGCTAAAGGAAATACAGGATACAAGTTGTCCTTCAAGCTCTGCCTGTGATATAACTCTTCACATCAATCAAGTATAAGAAGTGTGGTAGCCACTTCCAGGCATATTGTGAATATTATTGTAATGTTAATAAAACACATTCCTCCCTTGAACGGGAGGAGCTAAGAGGTGATACATCATTTATAATAGTCCTGTTTATTCAATGTGTTTATAGAAATACTTTAAATATTTGTCAGAATACCAGGCTAGTTAACATGACAGTATTTTTCCCTTTAGAGATTTGGAAATAAAAGTTCCTAGATATTCGGCAGCCTTGATCTTGGAAAAAGAAAAAAACAGAAGAAAAAAAAACACATAAAAAACCACCATTTCCAACCCTATGAACTGCTTTATTTTTTCTAATAAAACAAGTTTAGAGATTTAGCTTTGCACAGCAAAGCCAAGATGCACTTCTTGCTGGAGTTTCTTGATGTTTTACTTGTTTGTTTTCTAACTTTCAGAGTATCTCCTCTATGAAAGTGATGCAGTTTCAGGGCATGGGGAAGAAAGCTGCCCCCATTTCACTGCCACCTGTAGAACACTACGACCTCACACCTAGTCCTGATGTGCCTCTTGCTATCATGAAACGAAAGCTGATGGCTACCAATGACATGTATGAGGCTAGGAAGATTGCTGCAGAGATGAAAACGCACCTGGAGGTAAGCAAAGAAAACCAAAACTAAATGAAAAGCAAACAACAAAAACTCCACTACACTACATGTAAGGTCAGATTTATGTCAGTAAAAAACAATACTAAATAAAAATATAATGTCAATTATATTTTATTATGTCAATAAAAAGCAAAGTCACACCCCAGAACCAGTGGGATTTCTTCCAGTTTTTGCAATTTGTAACAAAATTACTCTTCAGACTGGTAGCCTCTGTTTGATGGTTTATTCTTCCTTAAAATTCAAGGATCTGTTCCCTGCGTGTTAAGTACTAATTATCAAGACAGATGTAAGGAAATGCAGTAGTCAACCTTGCAGCTTGTATTGCCAGGAAATTCCCAATTGCCTTCCATAGAAATTCTTGCTGGGAGGAATTATTCATTGGTATTAGAGAAACTCTTGTCACAGTAGAAGTGAAGTCTTCCAGATCAAAAGCTCCTGCAAAAGTGTAGCCAGTATTGGTACTGTCTTCTGGCAGAACTCCAGAAGGAGAATGAGCCATTTTGTGTACCAGGAGTGTTTTCATCTCCCTAGTTTTCTTTTGTATGTTAAGAGACAGATCCAGACAACTGAGCCAAATATAAGAGGCAAAATTGAATCCTTTAAAGATCCCAAGAGTTGAAGGCCAAGAAGGGTTTAATGAGAAATTTAATTCAAAGTCTTCAAATTGGGGCTCAGAAAAAGCATGTTTTAAAGTTCTTCTTGTTTTATATTCAGGCTAAAGAATTTATCAAGGAATCCATGCGGAAGATCATTACCCTAATAACAGGATCAAGAGAACAGACCAACCAAATTCTGTCAGACAGATCAACCATCAGCAATTATGACTGCTACCAGTCAGCGGTGAACCACTTCAAAGCTCATTGCTTCAACTGGCACTCTCCCTTGGTAAGTAAAGTGTTAGATACAACCTGATACACATACTGGTAAAACAAGTAGTCATAAGCAGGTCTGCAAAATGAGCTTTTATTAAAAAGCTAGCTTGGGGCAGTCTTACAGCTTAGTTTTGGAGAAAGGGCGACTGATGTTTTTGGAAGCAGGAAACCACTTCCACCATGCTTGTAGATGAAGATTACTAAAAATACCTTTAGTAAAAGGAAACAAAAATACTCCCTAATAGGTAAAGGTATCCCTTCAGGAACTCCTTCCTCAGAAATCCCAATATTAACTAAGCCACGTTGTATTTCTGCTTAAAGCATCACTACTAAACAGGAACATAGCAGCAGCACCACTCTGAATTCACAGTACATTCAGATTTCTCTATTCTGATTGCACATTGCATAGTTCCTTGCAGTAGCCTAGCTGATACTATCAAGATATCCATGATACCATGGGGTTGAACTCCCAAGAACAACGTATGTTTTAAGGCTTTTATTACTGTCTATTCTTCCTGGGATCCGAGCTGAGAACCAAATCTTGTTGTGCTAGGCACTGTTTAGCCAAGAATAACAGAGGTCAGTTTCCATTCCAGAAAACCCAACCCCAATGTCAGGCAAGGTAACCTAAGCAGACAGGTAGGATGAATCAACAGCAAAAAAGATTGATTTTAGCAGAAAACAATGGGATTAGCTGCCAGTTGAACAAGATGTAAGTACTATTTGCAAATCAAAAGCAGATGCAATCTCTTAGCAGGAACTTCTTATCAGCAAGGCTGCTAAGAGGTCACACAGCTCTGTTAAACTTTTAGTTCCTCTTTAGTGTTTTGGAAGGGGCAGTTGTTTGATTGGGTTCTTTGTTGGGTTTTTGTTGTGTGTTTTTTTTGAGTGCGATTGGTTAGATAGGTGGGCCCTCCTTAAGGGGTAACATGTAGCAACAGCTGAATTTACCTAATGAAGTTCAAAGAACACAGAAGAAAGATCTATTTAGTCTAGTACTAGATTGTCAAGACTTGCAAATAAGTGCCTTGAATGTCAATAGCATCTCTGAAGTACTTCCACAACTTAGTTTGTATAAACAATTGCTCATCATCCTGGTAATTATTAACAACGTTTATTTCAGTATGAGTATGCCCTGAGACAGCTGTACGCCTTGGTCAACGTCTGTGAAGGAGGATACCCCATTGAGAGGTAAGGAGGTTCCCAGGCACTCTGCCTAGTTTTGTCTGTGGCTATTAAAATGCAGAAGCTAATAGGATGATGAAGCCTAACGCTACTGGCTTCTCGTGTATTCTCTCCTCTGTTGACCATTCTGTTAATGAAGTTCTGACTCTAAAGCTATGAATGCTAATTTTGGAAGACACGTCATTGTTATTCCCTCCCACTCATAAGCCTTTCCCCCCAGTAAGCCTTTAATTTCCTTGTTGGAAACCCTCAGGTGAAATTAAAGCCAGCCAGAGGATCCCACTGCATGGTATAACTTCAAAATAGCATGACTGATGGGTTGTACAGGATATGGGTGTTGCCCTGCAACTTCTGTACAATGTCACAGTGAAAATGAGTTGGGAATTGCTGTATTTTCTCCTGTGCCCCCTCAGCTGCTGACTCAGAAGACCACAGCACTTCTGGGTCCTCATCCTGTAGCAGGAAAACAGGAAAATAAGGGTCCAGGCTGAAGTGCTGTGGTAGTGGCAAGGGAAGCATGGTGTTGAAATTCTGATTCGGGAGGGTGTAGCTCATGTGAGGGGACGGGAACCTCGTGAGTCACGCGCACAGAAGAAAAGGGAGGGAGAAAATCAGAGGGGTAGGGAATGGGAGGGAGGACGGGTAGTTTAGGCAGTGAACACGCAACCCAGAAGATGAGGAACTGTTTTGCCAGTCAGTTTGGGAAACAATTTGAGAGAGCTTGAAAAGATTCTCACTATTACTGTTCTCTGTTGCAGAATACACTTGGCCATGGATCAAGTGTGCCGTGGATATTGATGGAAACAGCAGCCTTGTAGTGTAACCCTTACTGCAAGTGGTAACTTCTCATAACTGCAATAATCCAGACTTCACATGCATGTACCACGAAGAGTCAGCCACTGTCCTGGAGCTGTGCTGGGAGCTGAGGCCACACGCAGTACGGCACTTGCCAGCGCTCTCCCCTGCATCCCCACCTGCCGCCAACCCGGTGGTTTGGCAGAGCCTTTTGTCAGACCACACGGAGCTTCAAGATGGATGATTTGTTTTGAAGTGTAATGCTCTAAGAATCTCTGGATGAACACTACAAGTCACCAACAGTGATTTGAAATCCATGTGAAATTTAAACATTGACTTAAATTTTGTGGAGAAAAAAATATACTGTTGCTAAGCATTACTTTTTTTTTTTTTAACAATGTTAATGAATTCATTACAGTGACTAATTTACAGTTTGAGTAAAGAAACCAAAGTTTGTTCTTTAAGCTTTAACTCCTTAACAGTTTAAAGAAGTGTGTTGCATTCAAGAACTATCAAATGTTAACAGCGCAGTTCAACTGTGAATAGCAAGAACCTTTTTGGGTAGAAAGCATTGTTTCCCAAAGAAAAACCACAAGTATCTAATGCTGTAAATAGAGTGCCAGTATGCTAGAATTAAATGTATTTACACACAAACCTCATACAGTTCAGGAATTGTCTGTGAATAAAAATAAAGTTGGCAGTTTCATCAACCTACAGGGCAATAGTGTTGGGCATCTTCTTTCCTGAAAATGAACGAGAGCTATTTCTTTTCGTGACACTGTACTAAAAGGTTATTTAGCCCTTGTAAAGCTTTTTTGAGACAAATTGTACAAACAAAGCAAAACATAATTAAAAACAGAAATCCCAAACCACATTTGAAGGCAGCACTCCTTAGAGGTGGCTCTGTGTGTAACAAGCAGGGGAACAAATTAGAAATTATGAGGTGCTTCAAAAGGATGCAGAAACACTTGAGGGATCTTTCCAGAGTGTGTTAAAATGCACAAAATTACCTCATCTTCATGGAAAAAGAACAGGCTTTGGGTAAAACTAAACCAGTATTTGCAAGATGGTGAGAATTGTGGGTAGCTCCACTCAGGAGTTGAGGGGCAGAGGAGGAGAAGCTGAAGTTACACTTATGTAAAGAAGAACCAGATAAAACCAAGCGTATTGGCACTTTCAGTTGTTTACTGAGTAAGTGAACAAGAGCACAGTTAATATCAAAATGGATGGGACAGGGTAAAAATCATTCAGCTTTACTGAACCAAGAAATTAAAGTTTATGCTTTGAGGGTCATTGAAAGTTCAGATGTTTGCGCTTTTTTGAGAAGCTAGTTTCTTTTCAGTTGTAAAACGTAAAATAGGGCTCTAAAAATAATAGGTTATTAAATTCTCGAGTGCCCAAATGTGCTGCAGATGTTCCCCTGAAAGCAGGAAGAAGGGTTGGCCACACAGGACAGCTTTCAGGCTGGCTGCTATCACAAAAGAGTGTACCAAGAGTCCCCAGTCACCTTGAAAGAACAGGAAAAATGACTCGTTCAGAGCCATGTTTAAATATTAAACCTGCGGAGTGTCACGCGTCTTTGCACTAGAGTTGTTCTCTACCCTAGAAAATCCAGCCTGCTTCTCAGGCACTTGGTATCATCTCCTGCAGACCCTTGGAGCTGTGAGGGTGCAAAGCCGAAATGTGGAAGTGGGGGATTTTCTTCTGTCCATTTTCCTCCTGCAAAACTGATTTCCAGACATTCACCTTTCTGAACTTTACCCCCTGTGGCATTGCTACCCCTTCCCTTAGGGATACACTAAAAGAGGCAATTTGGAGATCCTGCTGTGGCCTTGGAGACTCAGCAGGTTCTTGTCTGCACACCACAAAAAGCATTAAGGTGCTGTTGAATTGCCAGCCTGTATCCAGATACCCACTGCCTTTGCAGTCACACAGGAAAACAACTCCGCAGAACGGAAAACAAAAACAGCCAAACAAGCAAACAAACAAAACCAGCCAAACAACTTCCACCTGCACTGATCAATACATCTATTTTAAGGTCTCCAGATAGCATCAGATTGGCTTAATGCCTGTGTGGCCGGCTGTTTATTTTGGGATGGTGCTAGAACCCGATGAGAAAATGACCTGAGGCTTGTGCAAGCTCCCTGTCCCGCAGAGCAGCTTGTGGTGCGTTGTGCAAGCTCAGGCGCCCTCGCTCCTCCTTCAGGCACGCGGTTGCTCAGGCTGCAATTCCTAGAACGCTGCGCTGCAACAGCTTCTGCAAAATAAGCCAAACTGGCGAATTCCCAGCTTGTTGTCATCACTAACCAGAACAGGGCGAAGTTAAAGCTGGGTTGTCCAGAGAAAACAAAACAAAACCAAAAAACACAAAACAACACTTTTCCCAAGCAGAATGGTTGAGTGTCGCCCCAGTCCTGGGAAAAGCGCCTTCCTCACCAGCCAGCTCTTCCTTCCCTCGTTTTCAGGTGCTAGAGGCAGAGTCCAGGGCCCTTTTCCCAGTTGTTCTGTGCCAAACCACGCAGCTGTCACAGCCTTTCCTTGGCGAGGACCTGGAGGGCATCAGCAGGTATATGCTATGCTATTAAGACGTGATGCAGACCTGCACAGATGCAGGTTTTTTCAGGGCTCGTAACTACCCCTACTTTTCCACTAATGCTAAAGCAAGTGGCAGTCCACATGGGGTTGGAGATGATGGCTTATTTTATGGATTCCAGCAGGTTAGTAGGATTTCAGCTTTGCCCAAACCATGCCGTGTCTTCCCTTGGGAGGACGGCTTAAGATGAGCACCGGACGGCTGTGCCTGTGCTGCCTCTGCCCCCATGAAAAGGTCTGGAGGAGCAGGGAAGGGAAAGGAGCTTCCCGTGTTCACAGGGCGACCTCCCCCCTCAGCAGCACGTCACACCAGGGCACACGGGCAGTTCTGATGCCTCCTCCTTCCTAGGGATGGGATACCCTAAAAGAGACAGGGGACAACCGAAATGCCACATCACTCCCACGCAGGCCGTGTCCTGCTGTGACAGCACCCGCCCAGGAGGGGTCTGGTGGGGCAGTCGGGGGCTTCACAGCGGCTGAGGAGAACATTTTTCACAGAGCAGTGGTGGCAGTGCTGGAGCAGGGCCCCTGAGGGGCTGTGGGGCCTTCAGCAGCACAAAAAGGACAAGGCCCTGAGCACCCCGGGGAGCCCTGCTTTCGGCAGGGCTTGGGCTGGAGGCCTCCAGCCTGAATGTCCCCAGGAGCTGATGGAAAATACAGCCCGGCCCTGGCTTTCAAAGTCCAGCTTGGGGGCTGGTGTGTGCTGGTGCCCAAAGCTCCTGAATTCAGCAGAACTGCCTCTGGTTTCAATGGCTTGTATTTCAGGTCATACATGACCTACCAGCGTAATTATTTCAGTGAATTATTGACAGATTGGTTCCCTGGGCACACAGCGACCACTTAGGGTTTTTATGTTTGTGTTTTTCTTTACAGAGGTCTCTGGGTTCAGCGGGTCTCTCTTCCTTTCTCACACCAGGATCCTTTGCTCGTACGTACAGGGGTGATCGTTGCACAACCTTCCTGTGGAAATGAGTGTTTGAGGAGGCCTTGGCCAGATTACACAATCCTTCTTGGTCAAAGTCTCCTGAAACACTTGTCTGCTGATGGCTCATGTGAGGGCCAGGGCATGAGTCACAGTGTGACCATCTTGACTAACCAGGGGAAGCCGCAGATCACCAGTCTGCACAACTTCCTCTTCACCTGGTCTGCAGCACGAGGATGAAAGCAAATGGACAAAATCCCTTGGAGTGTTTAAAAGTGCTCATTTCATTCCACATTTGATGTTTTTATCCACCAGCTGAAATGTCAGACACTAGCAGAAACTGGTGCAGGAGCCCAGGAACCACCATCCAGGGCAGGGACATGCTGATGGGGACTCAGGTTGTTCCCACAGTCACCAAAACAGCAGCGAGTTTGTCCAGATGAGCTATCAGGCAAGCAGAGCCTGATTCCCACCACGTTGCTGTGAGCCCAGTGGTGGCAGCGGTCTCTGTCCAGAGTTTCTGGTCCTCCAGGATCTCACCACTCAGGTCATCTCCCAGCTTGTGTGCCCAGGCAAGGGGCAGCAGTGGTAGGGCTCTGGAGGAGCCAGGTCTCTCCACCGCAGGGGTGTGTGCTTAGCAAAGTCTGCAGGTGGTTTGCACAGTGTGATCAACCAGGCTGGGGGCCCGTGGCCTCTGAGAGCCCCTCTGAGTCCAGCATGGGGCGTTCCTCCCAGGCAGCTCATATCAAAGCGACTGATCCCCTGAGTTCATGGAAGGGAGGAGGATCCATGGAAACCTTTGCAAACCAAATGAGCTCTTTGCAGCTGTAACACCTGTAATGAATGTTTTGCATGTGCTATTTGAAAGCCTTTTTATAAGCCTGCTCCCAGGACTTAAATAACTTGTAGCAGCGGACAGCAAGAAGGGCACGGCGTAATTCATTAGTTGCTATAACTCATTCTGTCCTGGCTGATTTGCACATCCTCAGGCTTTGCATGCAAATCTTTGCATGGGTTTTATGCCTGGCTGTGCCCTGTGGAAACCAGACCTTGCTCTAGGTCAATGTTATCACTCACACCTCACCTTGTGAGCTCGTGTTCCACTCGTTGGGTGAATGCACAGTTGTTTGTGACACCAGGGGCCTGCTGCTTGGTGCAGGACCTCTGTGGCAGGATGAATCCCCCTGACCCACCACACACGGACCTGTCCCAGTGAGATACCCATGGGCAGGTGGGTGGAAGTGAGGTGGGGAGCTCGTCCCAGCCCTGGCTGGGTGGGAAAGGAGGCGAGAGGCGGTGGTGGTCACCTTTGGGAGAGTGGGTGCAAAAGAACAAAGGGGGCTGTAAGTGGCTCCAGGCAGCAGCAGGCTGCCCCACCAGAGGCTGATGGCAGCACGCGGGTTCAGCAACAGCCCCCTGCAGGTGGGCAGCCCGGAGGCACCATGGGGGTGCCGACAGCTGCGCACGAGTAGAAATAACCAGAAAACTGAGAGCGGAGTCAGCTCCATGCTGGTGGAACACCCTGTAAGTTCTGCATGTGGTGGCCTGGCAACCAGGGCTGCTGCTGTTCAGTCTTCCTCATTCTTGGTTGTTATTCCTGCCCAATGCTGTGGGCACACAGCCCAGGCCAGCAGATGCACAGTGCTGGTCTGGCATCTTGGTGCACGTTTGGCCACTGTGTGATACTGCTAGTGCACATAGACGGGGACGTTTCCAGCCCCAGAGACTGAGCACGTGATCAGCCACAGGCGATGCCATTTTCCCTTTGGAGGTTCAGATGTAAGGCAGGGACCTCAGGCAACATGGCCCGACTTGTTCTAATTCTGTTTCTGGATGGGAGGAAACACCAGCAGCTTTGAGCCAAGCCCACAGTAAAACATTCCCTGCTTTCTCATCACAGATTTGCTAGGCCTGATCCCATGTTTGCCTCGCTGCAGTGGAGGCTGCTTACCTCCCGCATACAAAGCCAGTCTCTTGCATTGGTAGTGGGAGTCTTGCCTGAAGGAAGGCACCCGGAAGACAAGGATCTGTCTCACAATTGAGGCTTCCACTGCCATTATCCAGTCCTGAAAAGCTGTTTTCAGAGTTCATGAAATGAATTTTTGCAGTTTCAGTTTATTCTGCAGAAATTTAGGTTGCAGGGAAATGTAAGTTTGCAGTGACCGAATGACTGAAAGCAGAGGTAGAGAGGAGAATTAGCAA